ATAGGGTTGTACATGTGTGTTTATATAGGTCTGTTTATGGTATACTGTTCATGTTGTGGGTATTCTCAGTAATAACAAGGTTATTCCTGATCATTGTGGCAGCCAAATATCCTTAAACATCCAGGGTATATTTTCCCCCATCATTCATGGTTTCAACTAGCTAAATGGCGGGTCTAAGTAAGAAGGTCTCACAATACAGCTACTTATCTCAGGAGTTATCAGGTATTACCATGATAACTGGTTGCACACCAGCCTGGGGTTAGTATGACTGATGTTTAGTCTAGAGTATGTTTGAACCCATGCTTGGGTAGTAGTATGTGCAATATAACCTAATGCTGGGGTTGTCAAGGACTGATGCTCAGTCTACAGTATGTTTGAACCCATGCTTGGGTAGTAGTATGTGCAGTATAACCTAATGCTGGGGTTGTCAAGGACTGATGCTCAGTCCAGAGTATGTTTGAACCCATGCTTGGGTAGTAGTATGTGCAATATAACCTCATGCTGGGGTTGTCAAGGACTGATGCTCAGTCTAGAGTATGTTTGAACCCATGCTTGGGTAGTAGTATGTGCAATATAACCTCATGCTGGGGTTGTCAAGGACTGATGCTCAGTCCAAGTTTTCAGATCCAGGTTGATGCTCAACCATACTAAATTTAGTAGTTCGCACCCAAGACTGTGACAAATAAAGGTTGATGCTCAACCACAGTGTTTTAGGTTGGTACCAGTAAGTATTAGCATGTAGTGATGAGTATTAGCATGGGAATCCCCCAATGCCAAACACCATGTATCTTGTCATTCATCATGTTCATCCCTTTCGTTAAAGGTCACATAAACCCTAGGGGGTACAAATACATAAATCACTAACTGGCATCGTTATAAATGAAACCCCGTCATTAAAACTACTCATTTCGACCTTTAATTGACTTAAATCGACTTTTTTGACAACAGTGCACAATTCTCACCCGCGAACGAAATTTCAACCAATCAGAGCGGCGCGCCTCTGTGACGTCATATGAGGAATAGCTTTGAGGGCCGATGCAGAATTCATCTACATTTTAGGGGTTAAATTATTTTGTTTACAGGCTTGTATAAACCTGAAATCGTGACAATTGTTGTGGAAAATGAAAGCTATATGTTCTCACAATCTACTGTCATTTAATTTCGTCTCCTGCTTTGCCTAGTTTCCGAGTTACAACTTGTTTTCATAGACGATTCTGTCAAAATCGATTGGTGTCGTTAGGCCCTATTTGTATAATGACTGATCCAAATTGATCCCATTTCTGTGTTTTTTTACCTCGATATTTAATCATGTCATGTAAAAATCTGTTTGTATTCTCAAAACAGTGTCGGCCCATACGTTTTCACATGCAATACAGCAATTAATACTCCCTTGTTGTAACCCGTCTTAGGTGGTATAAACCTACACATGTTATTTGTCATCATTCACTTGATGGTCAGTTAATGAATTTATAACAGGTATAATTAGTGGTAACACCACTTAGATAACCCGACAAAGGTTCCCATTTGGCATTTCTTGTGTCTGGACTAAATACTCAACAGTATAAACATCGATCAAAGGATTAACCCATACTTTTATCTTACACAGCGGATTTGTCAAAAGGTAGTGTTTATGTATGTACATTTACTAATCAATACTAAATACACTCTGTCGTGTCTGTGTCTGCGTAAAACAACTTCCTTCTTTCAAAGGATTAACCGCCAAGACATTGATTCTCATTATTGGCTAACTAAATTACTTTTTGTAAAGAATGGCGGAGATTATGCCATTAGTTCCCAGGTATGCTATCTTGGGTGACCAATGCGACTATATACCAATGTGAAATACCTGAAACGATATATCACTTTTCGTGAACATGTATTAGACTGTTAAAAGACACATCATTTGGAACAGCTGCAGGTGAATGGCATACGGCTCGTTTTTGTGAATATTGATGGATACATTCCCCGAACAAAGTAATAGCCTGACATCATTACAACTACCTGTTTTAGTTTTAATAATTGCATTTTGTTTTTATTCATTTGTCGCAGCATTCCACAGAATCCATGATTTCGTCGTGAAGTAATGAGACAGACAACATACACTAGGGCGTGTGTGCGAATTATGATTTAAAATGTCTAGATATTCAAGTTATAAGTAAAGGCAGATCGCCTGATAATAAACTAATTAGGATTATAAGACCAAATAGAAAGACGCACCTTGACTAGTATCTACATACTGGTGAGTGGACATTAACCATGGGAATGTAGCAAGATATTTATTGCGCAGTATGTCACTTCGACCCCCACCTCGCTTCCGAGGAAGAAATCGTTATGTTATAAGTTGTGTCATGCAAAATCCGTTTGGTTATGATTCCAATACATATTTAACTACGAGTAGAAAGTAGTCTTGATTTTCTAACTTGATGAAAACAAACTATAATCTCATTAATTCTAACAGATTTTTTTATTTTTAAAATGGCGGCGCTCCTGTCGGGAACATCCGCCAGTCTGAGGATAAATGGTATTTAGGTTTGTTTTCACCGAGTTATAAAATCAAAACTACTTTCTACTGGTAGTAAAATATGTATTTTATTGATGGCCAATAGGATTTTGCATGACATAGCGGTATAACATAACAATTTCTCTCGTGTGGCAGCGAGGTGGGTGTCAATATAATACTACTTACAATATTATTGTTACTTCGACCACAACCTCACTTCCGAGGAAGAAATCGTTATGTTACAAGTTGTGTCATAGAAAATCTTTATGGTCATCAATCATATGCATATTTTACTACAACTAGTAAGTAGTTTTGATTCTTTAACTTCCGTGAAGCGATCTGAACACAAGTAAGATATCGTTTCAGGCTTCCACAACGCTCGCTTCGCACTCACAAACATAACTCATTTAGCACGAACTGCGGGATCCTGTGGAAATCTGTGCATGGGGACACCATCGCCCGACCCCTAGGAGCAATTGACGACAAAGCAACGATTCGGCATGTCGTCGTTGATGTCGAGAAATCCTCAAAATGATGAGCGTGCTAGACATTTTCTATACAACTAACTGAAAATCGTTCCTCATATGACGTCACTGCAGTGCTCTGGCGACAGAGTTACGTAACCTGTCTGTGGTTTCGTTGGCGGGCGAGAGGGAAGCAGGCGACTTTTTGGCCACTTTTAATCGCTCGGTATTAATTAACCACAAGTTTTTAAAGAATAAATTTGGTGTTCCGCATAAGACTAACCACAAATCTTTCATATGTAATGGTTAAAAGAGTAACAAAAAACAAAGTTTAGTGGTTCTTTAAGGTATTATAAATGAGCGTAATATCTGGACCTATGCGTATGTGTATGTACACAACTGTATGATAAATTTCCCCTTAATGTCGAGCAATGTAGAACATGATCCGGCTTCTAGTATCTACTTTTTTCACCATTTGGTAACGTTTTCTCTGTTAAAGGCCTTTTCAAGTCATTCATTGTTATGGAAGACAATCATAGAATTCTCTCACTATGACACATTTCTTGTCAATATGTTCTGCTTGATGTATCAAAGGACATTTTTAAGTTCATTGTGCTATTGGTAATGAATATATCCATTGGAACATGAAAAATATCAGAGAACATATACCTGAAGTGGACATTCCTTGATGGATATATTAACATGATTTGGTAAATATCTGCTCTTTCCAACATATTTTGTTAATACTGATTAACTGAAATATGCACATGCATAAACATTTTAAGGTTTCAAATTTTTCATTATTGATCCTGATTAGATTGTAACTGATTGTTAGTAGGAATTTAAATGAAACAGTTATTTCTTGGTGAAGATCCACTGACCTTTCCTATAGGGGAACAAGTTATCAGTTTCTTAGGTACAATGAAGAGGCAGTTGTGTGTGGTCAGGTTTAGAAAATGTAACATCAAGTAATGTACCGACGACCAAATAGAACTTACACATCTTTGTAGTTGCAGGCCAGTCAGCTATTGTTGAAATAATGAAACTAAAAGTTAATGTGACTCGCATGGTTGCAGGCAATTAGATAATGCTTAATTAAGTGTGTTGATAGTTGTTCCTGCATTCTGATAAGGAAATTTGTTAATACATGAATATTCCAAGGGAATGTGTAACATTGAGCCACGCCCATCAAAACGGACTACTTTCATAACTCTGATAGAGTCAGTCTTTTCTCTTTCTGTTCACCTCCTTCATTACTTGGTTATCGGGCCAAGTAATGCTAGAGTGTCATGAAGTGAGATCCTATCGACCACTGTCACTCCAAAACATCTGCCTCTCACAAAGACTGCCCTACATCACAGTCTTCATTAGTCCCATTAGTGTCTTCCAGTTGTCCAGAAACAAATATTTAAATATTTCGACGACTGACAATGCCACCACAGACAGATTGTATACAATTCTTGCAAATACATCCCTCTTAAACTTGATAACCTATTTTCTTGAAGCTTGTTTCTCAGTCCTTTGGTTCAGCCTGAATGAAAATTTTAATGTTTTAAGGATTTGAGTTGTCTTTCTTTCTAGCGGCCTTCAAAGCTCTTCCAGATCGGATTTGAGCACTTTCACCAGACAGACCCAGCAAGATAATTATAACCTACTCTGTCAGCATGTACTAGATACATGGATATGTGCACTATATAAATATCCTATCCTATAATAATATGAAGGAAGGGAGAAGCAGGGCTTTGATAAGAGAGAGTGACAAATAAATAGATAGCAGGGAGACAATCCACATGCTTCGTGGACATTTGGGCAGTATCTGAATCTCACTCAAAAGTAGCTAAAACTTTGACTCAGTTTATGCTGTTGGGGAGAGATCACCATCTGCATCAGCTCAGTTCTCATAAGACACCTGGAACAGGGAATATTCACATATTTTATCCAACCTGCTGTTCAACCTGCAAGGAGGCAAAAGAAGTCCTCATATGGGTAAGAAAAAGTTTTGTCAATTGCATTCTATTTCCACATGTCTCCACCAGATGCCCCAGTGATCACCTCCGTCCCCAGCAACAAGGATGTGACAGAGAACACCAGTCCCAACATCGACTGTAGCAGTAACATCACACCAGGCAACCCTTCAACAACAAGCTACAGGTGGACAGGTCCAGGTGGTTACAGCAAGGATGGGGCTGTACTTGACAGACGTGTCACCAGGACTGAGGGAGGAATGTACATCTGTACTGCCTCCAACACTGCAGGACTGTCAGACACAGCTCAGGTCAACGTCAATGTGCAGTGTAAGTATGTCAGTCATGCTACCACTATTACCAAATACACCCTTTGTATGAACGCGTGATCATTTTGTATTCATATACATTGGCATATGTGGTCATCATCAGCTTCATTAAAACTAAAAGTTATAAAAACTGTCATTACAATATCCTTAAAACTGCTAACGTGGCTGTATTTTTAAAGACTTAGTTTTTAGACATAGATGCATTAAATAGACATTAAAATACCCATCCACAGACAGAAGGTATGGAAATGCACATGCTCTGTAAATTGCCCTTTGCAGTTAACCGGCGACTATATTTCAGTTATGTACATATTTATATTTGGTCATGATCAGACTAATTGAAATAAAGAATTTATAAATGCTATTTCTACAATTTGTCTGAAAGACTGCCAATGATGTAATCAATCACTTACATTTGAGACACAAATGTATTGAAACAGTCATCAAGATATGGAAAAAACATATCAACAGTATTGTCCATACTTAAAAGGAGTTAACATCATATGTTCCTTTCACCATTTCTTTCAAACAGACGCCCCAGTGATCACATCCGTCCCCAGCAACAAGGATGTGACAGAGAACACCAGTCCCAACATCGACTGTAGCAGTAAAATCACACCAGGCAACCCTTCAACAACAAGCTACAGGTGGACAGGTCCAGGTGGTTACAGCAAGGATGGGGCTGTACTTGACAGACGTGTCACCAGGACTGAGGGAGGAGTGTACATCTGTACTACCTCCAACACTGCAGGACTGTCAGACACAGCTCAGGTCAACGTCAATGTGCAGTGTGAGTATGTCAGTCATGCTACCATGATTCCTTAACACACACGAAATTGTGGAAACTCTCTGTGTTATGTTCCCCGAGAACAGCAAAACCTTCTCACCCAGATGGACCCATTCCTGACCCACGTGCCCAAACTGGTGACTTGTTATTCCCTTACTTTTAAGCCAACAGTATGGTTGGGAAGTGTAGTTTCTGTGTTTAGTGCTAGCCATCCTATCAAAATTCTAAATTTTTCAAATTATGAGGCCTCCGTTATAGTTTTCGATGTTATATTTAACACATCTACTTGTTACCTTATATAGTATTTAGTAACATAGAAATAGTCAACGCCTTCTTAGTCTGTGTGTCCGTACATCCGTAATCATTTTGTTTCCAGAGCATAACTTGAAAAAAGAAAATGCAATGACAGATATATCAGACAGATCCCAAAATTGTGCCTTTTGCTATTTGCAGATTTGTGGACTTCATTTTTCACTGATATTGGTGTTTAACTGACATAGATATACAAAGTTACAAATCCCAATTCCATTGTATTGATTTGATAGCTCAATAACTACTCTTGTATATGGACAGACACATCAGACAGAACTTCTCCCATTAAGTAGGTAACTGTCAGATAATTTGTTCTTTCAATCTTTTAAATATATCCTACTCACATAGTGTACTCTCATGATTCGACAGCTGAGTGGAAACAAACTACAAACAGTTTTTGGCCTCTCTTATAACATTCATCCAAAAACACGCCCCACTGCTCCCGATCCTGGAAAGCCCCAGCCTCTGTGAAGCATGCAGCAAACCACTGTGAAGGGAACACTTTTTAAGCTCAAATAGTCTACCTTGGGCACAGAAGATTCTACTTCAGGGTAAAGAAAGTTTTGTTCTCAATGCTATAAGATCTTCTCTTCCTCGGACCCCTGCTCTTCGTGTATAGTGAGTGAGGGAGACAAAATTTGAAGTCACATCGGCAATATTTCAGCCATATCGTGACTAAAACAAGTTTTTTACTTCATCATAAATACATGTAAATCACTAAAAGCCTGCCAACGAAGGACAATAAAACCAACTAGAATATAACAGACACAAGAAATAAAACTAGTATCTATCTCTAAAACTGTATTTCAAATTAGGACAATGTAATATAAAACGGGCAGTGGATCGCCAGCAACCGGAGGAAGATCACCATATTAAGGACCACTGGGACTTACAGCAGCTTTGCTACCTGCATGGACCCCAGCTGGATTTATACCATCCCTTTATCCGCTTGCGAGTGTAGGAAAGTTAAGCCATAATTTAAACTCACATAAATGGTACGTTTAAAACTTCTGGTAAGCTGAAATGTACTTTGAAGGTTTTGGGACTTGCCTATCCTTGCATGAGGACAATAATATTACATTACTTTAACCGCCTTTGAGGGTACAGCCACTAACAATCTTAGTTGATAATCTCAAATACCAATAATATAACATTCTACCATGACTTCAGTAAACACTGGATTGTGATTGGTTAATTAAAGTCATTCAGAGGTATATAATCACGTTATACAGGTCTCTGTTTTCCGTGCGCAATCATACATGGTTTACGGTAATGCACTATTTTTGTCTGCCCACTAACATGGCGGACACCAAACAACCTACCGATGCATCGATAAATTACGGCGATTTTACTGTCGGAAATTACACATATGTCTTTAAAGATGGATTTAGCGATGACGGGCTCGACTCACTACTTGCGTAAATCACAGCAATAGGTGTTTATACATACAAAAGTACTTCGAAAGCATGGAAACAAATATTCAGTCGAACAAGATCAAATAAAAATTCAGCAAAAACAAATTTGTTTACGTTGATTCTATGTTATGTCAGAATAGATCCAGCAATAGACTGCTACAAAATTTCCGTGTTAAATTTATTATCAGCTTTCGTCAACGATATCGCCACTGATCTTGATCCGGTAACGGAGGATGCATTAACATCGAACGCCGAAGAAATTTTAATGCCTTCCGTCCACATAAATAAACAGTTGGGTTATCAATTCAAACAAAATGATATTTTGAAATTTGTACTGTTTCAAATTTAGCGGTAGTAAAACACAATTAGATCTACAGAATCTGCAAACCGTTCTGTTTAGCCCAACATATTTTTTTCTAAATGTATAATATCGTTGAAAAAGTTATTTAGCTTAGTCATGATCCCTCTTATCCATTACACTGCTTGATCTAAAGTAGTCTATTAAAGTATAATTAATTACCTTACCGTGTTTATGCCAGAGGCACACCCTCGTGTCCTGATCCATCCTTTCGGAAATATCACCACAAATCTGGCTCTTTGTCAACAGACTCGCGAACATGCCAGCGAATCCGATTCAATTTGAACTCACTACACTTTGAAGCCACTAGGTCACAAAACACTTTCCAAAATGTAGAAAATAATATCCGTAAAATCGAATTTGAGCACAAAGTACACACATGAGTGTGTAAGAGTCACCACAGCTGCCGCACGCAGACGTAGAGGTGCGTGAAATCGTCAAGTTGACTGGGCGCAAAATTCAACAGTATCTAAATTCGGTACAACACGGACTTCTCGTTACAGCAGTTTCCCTACTCTTAAATTTTGTACCAGTACCAGTAATTAGATATCAAAGACTATCTCAGTCATACAATCAGGTTAACCTTTCGCAAACTGTCAGAGGCTCTCCCGTCGCATCTTTCCAAATTTGCACGTAAATGTAAACAATGACTTCGAGAAAAGGTCAAGGCCATGAGGTTGCTACCACTTTTCTGGTGGGGAAAGGGTCTACGGTGGAATTTTCAAATGTGAACCAAGCTTTTTAAACTTATTTGATATATGTTTTCCAACTTATCAGTTAATGATTGGTGATTGATGCATTGAAAAAACAAAACGTGATTTGTTATTACTGAATCTGGAGTTTGTTAGTCATTGACGGTTTGCCACAAAACACCCCGTTTCGGGCGATACCACTTGAGATTGGAATGCGAGGCCGCTTCACGTATTGACTCGTAACCAAAGAAAGAGCTCCACCTGAAATTGTTCATAAAATTGTCATGGTAGAATGGAGATAAACCTATTGTGTTGAAAATCAGAGGTATATAACGAAATTATAATAGCTCTAAATTGTTCATTTAAAACCTCACGCTACGCGTTCGGTTTTAAATTAAATTTAGAGCTATTATAATTCCGTTATATACCTCTGATTTTCCCACACAGTAGGTTTATCTCCTAATTAATCTATTTACAAAACATATTTCAAAACTTATGCAACAATTCTATTTCCTTTAAAAACTCCATAATTAAATGATAGTTTACATTATTAAAAAGATCTTTGACCGTTTAAACACTGAAGTATTTATCCCTTGTGATGGAAAAATCAACAGTCAAGCAGAACACGCTTCACCGTGATTCTCCCATCACAAGGTATACACAATGGAGGCCACTAAGACATCGTCACATAATGAGCTCTTCAAAGCTGAACTGACTGCCCAAGTAGGTGAAACCGATAATAGGCTTTTTAAATGTAATTTATTAACATCTGCTTGGGTGCCACACTTCTGTATCAGATTGTGGAAATAATACCCACTCCAGATGACAGTAGCAAGAGTTTTTTGACCTTCTTTTACCAGCTTTAACTCACTTCTAGTCGAAAGTGTATAAAGCTCCTCTTAGCATCATCCGATGTAGTGTTGGAAGATTGCAGAAGTGGTATATAATCTTACTTGTGTACTCACTCAACCATCTGTTGCATCAGATATGATTGCTCTTTGGAACTCGATGGACACCCTCACTAAATTCCTGTGTGTGAAGTTTTGACTACATATTCAACAAAATACTATACCCATGCACACTGTATCTAAACCATCAACAGAGAACTACTGCACTTTCGAAATAATGGAGAGAGCAGTGAAGCAGGTAGCGTTATTGCGAGACAGTGATTGCGTCTTAGTGAAATAATTGCTTCCTTGCACAGATCCTACTACTTTCTTCAAATCCATTGGTACATTGAGTAGTGGTTCAACGAATCAACATTTCCGGGTAAGTTCTACGTCTGTTTCACTATGTACTACCCTCGTTGCCCCATCATGGCTTGACAATTTGAATCTCTGTGTAAGAGTTTACTTGAAATCGTTTACCCCACTCATCACCTTCACAATGATAAAGTGTCAAGGCTGTGGTCAATCAGTAGTTGGGTACATCAATCAAGGGCTCCAAGGTTCATCAGATCTTCTGGAATATGGGATCCAGTTTTTTCATCTGACTCCCTGTGTATTACAGCAAGACAGACACAAACCGAGGGTAAAGAACGTCATCGCCTATGCTCTACCCCGACCCGACTGGCTGTCACTATGTGAATGGAGACTACATCTACAGATCCTCACATCAGTCTGCCTTCCGATCACCAACACACAGATAGATCTATTTGCAACCAGGTTCAACAACCATCTTCCCAGACTGTGTTTCCAGTTCCAGATGCCTTAGCATGGCAATCTCCTGGGAGGGTCTAAGCGCTTACACATTTCCAGCACCAGCTCTACTTCCAAGGGTGTTACAGGAGCTTCAGTCCACCAAGACGAAAACACTGTTTTGGTTGTGTCCTATTGGTCAGGAGTTGGTTTGTTGATCTGCGGAGGCTCGCCAATCCTACACTACACAGATTACTCCCCATAAGAGAATGATCAGACAAGGCAGTCACATGGCCAATCAGGATACATGCTGCCTGCTTCGCAGAAGCTGAGACTGACCAGGAATGGGAGCAGTGGGGAGTGTTTGAAAGAGAGGCTGAAACGTTTGTTTGCAGTTGTCGATCATGAGAGAGAGAGTACACTATGTGAGATAAGATATGTATATAAATATACAATTTATAGTTAATATTTCCAAATTTTGGTGATCAAATAAGCATGTTTTTCAACTAAACTATGACCCCGATCTTCATGTGAAGTTATTCTAGATGTGGACATTGCGCATTAGATCGTGGTCCTGACAGTATCTGCT